TGCAAATGCATGAAGCATGGTTTAACAATGCCTACGATAAACTAAAGCAAAATTGACAATTCACTTTTTGGCAGGTGAGTTATTTTAAAATTTGATTAATTCTTTTTTAAAAATAGATATTATTCTATCCTCAAGTTTTTTGGCAGATGTTTACTGAACACCTTGTATGAGGCAGGAATAAGAAAATATCCTTGGGGATAACAATGTTGCTCAATGAACTAAACTTCTCCTTGTTAGATTGCCAGGAGGCGTACTGGCTCCATGTTTCTGATCCAGCACTTGGCTAATGCACCTGGGAAGGCGGCAGATGACCCAGATGCTTGAGCCCCTGTCATTCCTGTGGGAGACCCGGCTGGAGTTCTTAGCTCCTGGTTTCAGCCTTGCCCAGCTCTGGGTGTTGTGGGCATTTGGGGAGTGGACCAGTGGATGGAAGGTATCTCTCTCTCTCTCTCTCTCTCTCTCCCCCCACTCTCTCTGTATCCACCTTTCAAATAAATGAATCTTAAACAAGAAAAGGAAAGAAAAGATCCCTGCCTTAGGAGGGGTTCATAGCCTAAAGAGAGAGACAGTCATGTAACTATAAAGCAGAGTGCAACAGGAACTACTCTAACAAAGATACTTCTAAAAATTGCTTTGGGACCATTATTGTGGCACAGTGAGTTCAGTTGTCACTGGCATCCCATTTGGGCACTGGATGGATGGAGGCTTGTAGGCTCCACTGCTGACCCAGCTCCCTGCTCACACACCTGGGAAAGCAGCAGAAGATGGCCCAAGTGTGTGGGCTCTGCTACCCATATAAGAGACCTTGCTGGAGTTTCAGGCGCCTGGCTTTGGCTTGGCTCAGCCCTGGCTGTTGCAGCCATTTGGGAGTGAACCAGTGGATAGAAGAGCTGTCTTTCTCTCTATATCTCCCCGTCTCTCTGCCTTTCAAGTAAATAAATAAATCTTAAAAAAAAAAAATTGCCTTGAGAGCTTGGAAAAAATGAAACCAGTTATGGTGAGGGTGCTTGCCACCAAGAAGGGGACATTTTGTGTCCCACACCAGTTATGCTTGTTCCAAGTGGGTCTCAAGAATGTGTGGACAGCTTTAAGTCCTGTGTCCAGGATGTGTGTTCCGTCTCTGTCCTACTGCTCCACAGCCTTACGGGGACTCAAGTGGTAGCATTCGGACATTTACGTACGATAACCTTAGCCCTACATCCATCTAAACATTCTGGGTTTCCCTAGGCATCCAGTGCTGGGTCAGGGAACACCCACATGATTAGTTTGTTTGGGTGAGAAAATGGGGTCTAAAAGTGAGAGACTGAAAACATTTGGAGATGGAACAGCACACCCTTCAGGAAGTCTGCAGCACTGGGCTGTGAGAGTTTCTGGAACTCTGTAGGCAACAGAGCAGCACAGGAGATGACTAGTGAGCTGCCCAGGAACCTTGCAGCATAGGAAACTGGATTTCACTCGTGCTTTTTAAGTAAATCTAGAGTGTCAGAGTGTGCTGGTTTGCGGGAAAATAAACTATCCGAAGCTTATGTCCTAAGGATGGGTATGTGTGGGTTTGCACAGATATGATTAAGCATATGCATTTAGATGAGCGAGATGAGCACCTGGAGGGAAGACGGGCTTAGAAAAAGACAGCAATTCATGTTGTGGAGCCCCGCTGTCCGCCCGCTCCCCCGGAGCAGTTTGGGAGCAGGAGATTGCCAGTTGGAAACATCAGAAAGCTGTGGTCTCAGGTGCCCTCGCTGACAGTTTTATGAGGCTGCTGTTAGAGGCAATGAGCGTCTAGACAGGACTGGTGCTTTGCAAAGCAGAAGGCTTTTTTTTTTTTTTTTTAAATGAAAGGAATAAAAAGGATAAAAACTGAAGACATGATGTGATTTAGATGCCAACACTTCACTTCTTATCTCTAGTGTAACTGCCAAAGAGCGGGCAGGGAGGAGGAGAGGGAAAGAACAACATCTTGATAAGGATTTAAAATATCAGGAAATACAAAACAAACAACACATTTAGCTGAACATTTAGTTATTTTATGAATATTTTGTGACTCTCTATGGTTTTCCTTTGTGAGAAAATGATGCAGATGTGGACAGGAGGTTCTCCCATTTTTATGAAGATGCAATTATTTGTTAGTGATGATTACAGGGAAACCGAAAGAATTTCAGGTTGTTCTGTCAGGATTTTGGAAGAGCACAATCATAGGTGAAATTTCAAGTCCACAGAAGCAAGGTACCGCTGCAGAAGCTGAGATTTTTCAATAACCATGTTTATGCATTGTGACAGCTTATAAATTAAAAACCCAGCAAGTCTTAGGCAACACATTCAGCTATCACTAGGGATAACATAATAGAGGTGCCTGCTCTATGAAAAGGGGAGTTTGGACCCAATGCTTATTGACAATGGAAGAGAAAGTAATTTTGAAAATAGCATTTCTGCATTTCTATGTCACATAGTGTAAAAGTGGTTATTATGGACTGGCTATTGGCTTTCTTCTAAAATTCCTGCATTGGAATCTTAATGCCCGATGTGGCCATGTTAGGTGAGGCCTCTGGAGGTAACTGTGTGGGGACAGAGGAGGCCTCATGAACGGGATTAGTGCCCTTAGTGCCCTGGAAATTGAGACGGAGACCGCGCAGAGCTCTCTCACCACCTTCTACCACTGGAGGAGGTGAGAAGCAGAAAGTGAGCCGGCACCGGACACGGACTCTGCTGGCCCCTTGACCGTGGACTGTGGGGCTTAAATGCACCTTGTGAAGCCACCCAGCCTTTGGTATTTTTGTAACAACAGCCTGAATGGACTAAAAAAAAAAATAATAAAAAACCAGAAGCTGCTGTGAAATGCAAGCGGGCAAGGTAAGGATTGAACGTAGGTGGCAAATTACATGCATTATACCTTCAAATAAAAAGAAAACAACCACTTTTCAAAACTTTTGGGTAGTGGTCGACAACATGGCATAGTGGGTAAAGCCTCCACCTGTGGTGCCAGCATTCCCTTATGGGCGCTGGTTCGAGTCCTGGCTGTTCCACTTCCCATCCAGCTCCCTGCTAATGCACCTGGGAAAGCAGTGGAGGATGGCCCAGGTCCTTGGGCCCCTGCACCCACGTGGGAGACCTGGAAGAAGCTCCTGGCTTCAGATCAGCACAGCTATCTGGGGAGTGAACCAGCAGATGGAAGACTCATCTCTCTGTGTCTCTGTTTCTCCTTCTCTGTAACTCTTTCAAATAAGTAAATAAATCTTTAAAACAATTATCACAAAACCTTTGGGTACTTAATTAATGTGAAGTAGTATTTAAAAGAGCCCGTACAGGATGCTGAACTGATTAGGGGTACCCATGAGGAAAAAAAACCGAGAAAAGTCAAAGTGAATTAAAATGAATTGAATGGTCAAAAGTATATGGAGAAACACACGACTTTAAGGAATTTGAGAGGCTTGCAGACAAACCTCAAAATCAAAACAGACATTTCAGATAGTCCTGTCCGATCTTGGACAAGTTGCGAAACTTCTCCCAGCCTCTGCTGCCCCGCTGGATTGACACCTGGTTTCCTCCAGCTGTGAGCTATTTTTCTCTTGTCTGAGATGTGTTTCATGCTACCTAAGGCTCCAGAAGCTTCCTCACCTTCCTGAATATTGACAACATCGCTTGTGGCCTTTTCCTCTAACTCTGGCTTGCTTTCTTCATTCCCAGCAGAGCAGGGCCCCTGAATATGTTGCTCATGGGGAAAGAGCTGTGACCTACGACTTAGGGATTCTTTTTTCCACTTTTTTTTTTTTTTTTAATATGTAGCAGATACACTTTTAGGCCTAGTAATCAGATAAATCTGCGTTGGCTACCTAAGCATTACCTGCCAGCCGACTGCAATAGAAACCGTGTTTTCTCATCCGGAAAAACAGGGCTAATGCCCACCTTGAAGAAGAGGATTATCAGCATTCAGGTCAACCCATTTTGAGATGTTTTGTTCCTTCTTGTGTATAAGCCACCAGGGCCCAACTAGAAAACAAGTTTGATTATTTTTAGAGCCTTACACAACAGAAATCCCTGTCTTCCAATAAAACTTTTGAACGAAGAGTCTCACAGAGCAGAACTAGCCATTCTGCGACGGGTTGACTAGCAAAGCGGATTGTAGGCTGTGGGCACTAAACCCGCACACACTCCCGGGACTCTCCCGCACAACACCGCAATTGCTCATCTCTTCGCGTACGCCCGCGCTTGCAAGAAAACCATGGGAAAATCAACCCTCCTTTCAGTGCACGAGTCTCCGGAGCCCGAATATCTAGGCAGCCAGGGCCTATTTTCAGAGCTGGGGGCCGGTCAGAAGGGGTGGAGGGCTCCCTAGAGACCTGCCCGCGCAGTTCCTCGGGGCGCCGGGGCCCCAGCGCATCCCCGTCCCTCCCGTTCTTCCCTAATCCCTAATCCTCCAGGCGTCTACCCGCACCCCACGGGGCTGCTTCTCCTTTTAGATCCTGGCTTTCTCCCCTAAGTGGTCAAAATGGGAAACGGAAGTATCTCGATTGGCCAGCGGCAGTGCTCGACAAGACGTTTTGTTTTTTTAATTAAAGGGGGGAGAAAACCCCTCCTCCCTCAGGTCTTCACGTCTCAGAGCGCGACCGTCAGCCAGCTCCCCGAGTCCGCTTCACCAAAGCAAAGCGCCCCCCACCCACCCAACTGGGGTTTACTCCGGCGAAGGGGGCTTGGGTCCTGCCTGAGGGGTCCGAGTCTGCGGCGGCGAGGCGAGAGCCACGGGCCGACGGGCTCGGGATCCCGGGAGGCGCGTGCGGCGCCGCCCCCAGCGCAGCGGGGAGGCGCGTGAGAGGCGCGCGGGCACTGCCCGGCCGGGGAAGCCCGTCCCGGGAGCGCGAGGGCGCGGCAGCGCCCGTAGCGCGCCGTCGCGGCGCCGTCTCGGGAACTGGCCGGGGTTGCTTAGGGAACAGGAGTAGCAAACGTCGCCGCCCCCAGGTGAGGGGCGTCTTCTGCAATTTTTGCCAACAAGCCGGGGCGGTTCCGGGCCGAACCGCGCGCGGCTGCGGAGGGCTCCGGGGCGGCCCGCTGAGCCGGGCCCTCCAGCCCGCGCGCCCCGGGCGTCCGTCGGGTGCGCAGGCGGGTACCTCAGGGGAGTCCCCCCCCACACCTCCACCGCCCCGCGGCCACGCTTCCGCGTTACCCGCAGAGCGGCCGGGCGCCTGGGACGTGCGGGGCCGCGAGGCCAAGCCAGGCGCCCCCCAGCGGCCGGCGCGGGGCCCCATGGCTGGGCCTGGCGGAGCGGAACCGGCGAGGTGAAGCCCCGGGGCCGGCAGCCCGAGCGCCTGGCTGGGGCGCCCGGCTCCATGGGCAGCGGCCCTCCGCGGCGCGATGATGGACGTTAACAGCAGCGGCCGCCCGGACTACGGGCACCTGCGCTCTCTCCTCCTGCCCGAGGTGGGGCGCGGGCTGCCGGACCTGAGCCCCGACGGGGGTGCCGAGCGGGTCGCGGGCTCCTGGGCGCCGCACCTGCTGAGCGAGGTCCCTGAGATAACTGCCAGCCCCGCGTCCACCTGGGACGCGCCCCCGGACAATGCCTCGGGCTGCTGGGAGCAGATCAACTACGGCAGCGCGGAGAAAGTTGTGATCGGCTCCATCCTGACGCTCATCACGCTGCTGACGATCGCGGGCAACTGCCTGGTGGTGATCTCGGTGTGCTTCGTCAAGAAGCTCCGCCAGCCCTCCAACTACCTGATCGTGTCCCTGGCGCTGGCCGACCTCTCGGTGGCCGTGGCGGTCATGCCCTTCGTCAGCGTCACCGACCTCATCGGGGGCCAGTGGATCTTCGGCCACTTCTTCTGCAACGTCTTCATCGCCATGGACGTCATGTGCTGCACAGCCTCGATCATGACCCTGTGCGTGATCAGCATCGACAGGTAAGGGCTAGGCCGCCCGGTGCGGGGCTGTGGCCGGGGCTGGGCGGCCAGCTCAGCCCCGCGCGCTCGCCTCGGCCGGGAGGATCAAGCCAGACCTCTCGGGATGAAGCGCAGCCGGGCGCATCAGCTCCACGCCAACCGCACGAGTGTCATTAAGAGAGAAACCGACATGTGCTGCTTTTAGTGTAGCGAGCATTTTCTACGACCCAACTTAGCGTATTACAAACGCGGGTTCCACTTTGAAGAACCAGAGAAAAGCCACTTTGCTCCCGCAGTTCTGCTAGCTGACTCCCTGCCCAGGCAGATGGAAGGAGCTTGGGTGGTCTCAGAATTGGGGGGCCATCCGTCGTAGTAAAGGTGGCGCCCCGGTGCTTGCTAATTCCCAGCGCGTTTCTGGTGGAAGTCTGCTTTCAGTGTATCCCTGCGACTTGTTGACAGGAGCCTTGCAGCCCGCCCTCCTCTCCCCGCTCCACCACCAAAGCTGGGTCCTAGCCTCCATCACACCCAGTGGGAGTCTTCCGGGAGCTCCCCCGCCGGAGTGATGGAAACACAGGCTGACCATCTGCCGGGAGGGTGCTGGGTCACTGCGTTGGGTGTCATGCGGGGCGAGGAGATCCCCAGAGTTCCTTCAGAGCCCCAGATGACAGGATTTTGACTCGTCTGTGATCCTAGACCATCATGGAACTTGAAGGATGGCCGCGGTGCTCCTTGGCTACAGAACAGTTCCCTTGTGTTTGAATGGGGCTGCTGCCGGGCAGCCAGCACAGCACTAGTATCCTGTGGTGTTTAACGACCCCACAAAAGGTTGCTTACGTTCTCAGTGGACCTACAGGACACTGAGAAGTGGAAACCTTTCAGCACAGGAGAAATGATTGATGCCTCTGTACTTGAAATGACAATGCAACCAAGGATGCTCTCGCGTGTAACTGAGATTTTCCTTTTATTTTTTCTTCTTCCTTGAAAACACTGCTATTGGTGGGCTGTTGAGATTTAAAATGTTCTGTTATTTTATCGTTTGACCAGCGTTTAGAATGACTGAATAAGAGAAATGATAGGACAGGGAATATTTTTGAGGAAAAAAAAAGTTCATTGCAGCTGTATGCCATTAATGATTATTTTTTAAATTGGTTCTGCTGTTTTATATATCGTGGTGGGAGCTTCTGACAGCAGACAAGAGCAGAGCGTGAATTGCCTATGTGAGGATATTAGCACCAAAGTTGGCAGCTGAAGTTCGGAATTACACTCGTTCAGGATGACAAAAACAGATGCATTTGCAGTCTGGCTGTGGCAACAAGAATTAGGAGAGTGCACCCAACATACATAGTAAGGATCTACATGAGTTATGAGCACAGAAATCTGAGTGCTCAGCCAATCAAAACAGTGCATCTTGCGTGAATGGAGTCCTTTTAAATGGAACTTGATGTCATAAAACAATTTAGGCTGCAAGTAGTGCTTTTATAACCCTTGTTTCATTTCGTTATGGATAAACGATAAATACATAGCACATTGTGCTAACCCATCTCCTAAGACAGCCTGTGCGTCTGTTCCTCTGGCACATTCAAGTCTGGCTGAGATCGTCCTGTGATTCCTGTACATGAGCTACAAGCATTTTTCACGCTGTGCCCATGTGTCTTAGCACCAGCAGATATTTCCAGAATCCAGGGAAGAGGTTAATTCCTCTGGCAAGAGCTTTAATTTCTTCATCAACTACATCCTTGTGATTGTCACAAATGGTGGTAATATGGGCATGTAGACTGTTTTTTTTTTTCCTGTAAGAATTGACCATTTGGTGAATTGTACCTAAACATTATTTTAGAAAAGCAGCATGTCATATCTTTGGATAAAATGAAGAACTGATAAAACTGGTAGGTTGGTTTTCTTATGAGAACACACAGAACTAAAAATGAGAAAAAAGAAAATGCATTTGATATAAAGGTGAGTTGTTTCTGCAAAAATGATAAAAATGTGCTATGAAAATATGAAAAATATCTTCATTCTTTATTCATTCCATCTTGAGTACCTACTGTAGGATACAATTTGTGCAGCACAGAGATGAATAGCAATATCCTTCTTTTAAGCTCACGTTGTCTTGTGAGAGTGTGGATATTTGCTGGGTTTTTAACCTGGCGGAAGAGCAACTTTGGCTTTTTCTGGGCTCCTCCCCACGGTTTGTGGCTGCTTTTCCAGCCCTTCCCCATGCAGGGCCCTGCTGTTCTTCACAGTCTCAGAGTTCCCACCTCCAGCCCTTTCCCAACAGTGACTCTAGTTCATGGGAGAAGTAGCAGCCCTTGGATGGGGACTCCCTTATCTTTGTCCCACCAGTCTTCTCTGCATCTGTACCCTTCTTTTTCACTTCCTTCCCAGTTAAAAGGCAAGAAGACATTGTGTTGAGTTTTTTTAAAATGAAATATGAATATGATGCAGTTATATAACAACCAGACCACCTGGACTTTATATTTCATCCTCTTGTCTTCTCAAGGACTTTGTGTCTTGATTTCTCATCTCTGCTCTGGCTGCTGGTTTTCCTTTCTACTGGGTCAAGCTTCGTCTCTTCTGTAACAGCCTCCTGTTTGGCTTCACTCCTTCCTCCATTGACTGTTCCACTTCACAGTTATGGTACTCACAGCTCAGTGTCCATGACCTATCTCTACTTCTTGACTTTTCAGACACAGGAATTTTACACTCCTTGGACCTACTGCAATATTCAAATGGGCCTTTCTGATTCCACTTCTATCTACCCACAACCCGTTGAAGAAACTAGAATGATCTGTTTTTTTTTTATGTTTAAAATTAGATAAGATGTATATATAATGAAATGCACAGATTTTAAATGTCCAACTTGACCCTTGTAATTAACATTCCAGTTGAGATATATTTTTGTCGTTCCCAGGAAATTCCTTGTGTCCTTTCTGGAATGATTTTTTAGAAACAAAAATCGAATTAACCTTTAAATGCAGCTTTTAAACATGCATACCAGTTCTGGATATCGTTTAGAGTACTTACATAAGGAGGACAAGTGTAACAGTGCAAAGGAGTGGTGGACACCACATTTGGGAGAGTGGTCGTATTCTTCAGAGTTGGTCTAGTCAGGGAGTACGCGTGTCAGCGAGTTTGGAAATTTTTTATTTCTTGATCTTGGAGTTAGCTCCAGTCTTTTTTTTTTTTTTTTAAGATTTATTTTATTTATTTGAAAAACAGTTACAGAGAGAGGCAGAGAGAAGAGAGAGAGAGGTCCTCCATCCGATGGCTCACTCCACAGATGGCCACAATGGCCGGAGCTGCGCCGATCTGAAGCCAGGAGCCAGGAGCTTCTTCCAGGTCTCCCACACGGGTGCAGGGGCCCAAGGATTTGGGCCATCTTCCGCTGCTTTCCCAGGCCATAGCAGAGAGCTGGATTGGAAGTGGAGCAGCCAGGACTAGAACTGGCACCCACATGGAATGCCAGTGCTTTAGGCCAGGGCATTAACCCACTGCGCCACAGCGCTGGTCTCTAGCTTCAGTCTTAGTATTCTTGGTATAACCTTTTATGCGTCTGATTTATATTTTAAAATTTTTTGGCCAAATACATGTAGAAAAGTGCACAAACCTTAATGTGGGCCTTGATGAATTTCTAAAAAGTGAACATATCGATTGAATCAACCACATCAGGAAATAGAACTTGACCAACTTCCCAGGGGTCCCATCTGGTCCCTTCCTAGTTTGTCCTGTTAGCCTGGCGGAAGAGTGCTTGGCTAGAACTTCCAGTTAACGGAATGGCACTGTATGTGCTCTTCTGTCTGTGAGGTTCGTCCATGGATTTTAGCCTGTCAGTGGCCCATTTGTTTTCATTGCTGAGTAGAATCCCATTGTATGAATACGCCACAGTTTCTTTATCTATTCACCTGTGGCTGGTCATTTGGGCTGTTTCCAGTTTCTGGTTATTACTAATAGTGTTGCACTGAACATTTATTTGTGTCCAAGTGTGAATATAACACTGAGTCATAAGGAACATGAAAGTATTTTAATTCTGTCTACTCACATCTTTCAGGGATTTTAAGTCTATAGATTTTAAAGTGTACTATATATATTATTGTTGTTTTAAACAGTCCACATTCATTGTTATTTACCCATATGTTTACCTTTTCCATTGCTTTTTTCCTTTTTTAACAATTTATTTATTTGAAAGGCAGAGTTTACAGAGAGAGAGCGAGAGAGTGAGCAAGCAAGAGGTCTTCCATCCGCTGGATCACCCCTTTAGCAGCTACAATGGCTGGAGCTGAGGTGGTCTGAAGTCAGGAGCTTTTTCTGGGTCTCCCACGTGGGTGCCAGGGCCCAAAGACTTGGGCCATCCTTTGCTGCTTTCCCAGGTGCATTAGCAGGGAGCTAAATGCAGGAGCAAAATAGCCAGGACTCGAACCTCTGCCCATATGGGATGCCAGCATCACAGGTGGTAGCTTTACCTGCTACCTGCTTACCACAACGCTGGCCACCCCATTGCTTTTTAATTTTTGTGCACTGACATGCTTTCATCTAGAATGATTTTCTTCTGACCAGCCAGACTCCCATCACCATTTTTTTACTTGTCTGAAAATGTGTTTTTGTTTTCATCAGGTATGGAATTCTATATTGACAAAGTTTTATTTTTAGTTCTTTAAAACGTTGTTCCATTGTCTTCAGACATTCATGGTTTCTGTTGAAAAATCAGTCATTAGCCAATATTGCTGTTTTTCCTTTGGAGGTACCATATCTTTTTTCTCTGGCTACATTTAGAATTTTATCTTTGTCTTTAGCTTTTATAAGTTTTCTGTGATGTCCCTAGTCCTGGTTTAATTGTTTATTTTTTGTTTATTTACTGTTTAACCCTGCTTGGCTTTTTAGTGATTTTTGTATTGGCATATTGCTGCCTTTAATGAGTTTGCTATTATCTCTCTCTCTCTCTATTTTTTTTTAAAGATTTATTTTATTTGTTTGAAAGATGGAGTTACAGAGAGAGGTAGAGACAGAGAGAGAGGTCTTCTATG